ATGATGTGATTTCTTTCTCCCCCTCCCAACTCCCTCTTTGTGCAGGCACTTTTCCAAAAAGAATTGCAAAAAATAGGCAGTTCACAAAACACCAAGTTATAAGCTAGTATTTTTCAAAGCAATAGCTTAGACACAGGCATGTGAAAACATATGTAGGCACTTAACCAAGTGGTCTGGCAGTGTAGTCACGTGTGATGGAGTTAAAGCTACTTGGTGAGCTACTGCTAAAGTGTGTTGGTGCAGTTTCATATTCTCTTCTTCTCAACAGCAAAGTTAAGCTGGCAGGGAATTTATTTTATCTTTCCACTGAAGTAGGATAAGAACATGTAAGTGGACTATTACCATGACTCAGCTAACAAGAATTAGCTGCTACATTAGCCTTTTACATCTTGCCTTGCCTCTTATTTTCAGAGGGTTGATAACCTGGTTGCCCCTAGTCAGGCTAATGTGTGTGAATCTTAAGACCCTTATTTTAGATACTCATAAACCAGAAAGATGACTTGCTAATGGGACTATATGCACATCTGATTATGTACTATTTTATCATTGCTACCTTGTCAGCACAAACAGCAAGGGCTTTTGCAAGTCCCCTCAGCAGCATGCCTCTTTTTACCACCAGTTCTAAAAGTCTTGGAAGGGTATGTGTTCACCCTGTGTCGCCGCACATTCTTACATCTGTGTTGCAGTAACCAAGATATATTTGTGTTCATTGCAAGTATTTTCAAAGTAGCATGGGATAATTGTCCCTTTGCAAGCATCTCTCTCTAAACTATTGTTTAAAACTGCCAGATGCATCTTTGTTTTTTTATTAAGAGTAAGGCAACAACAGAGAGTCTGTAGTTATCAGGAGATAATAATTCCCCAAGGGCATTTGAAGCACTTCACAACCAAAAGATTGTGATTACTCCATGTTTGCTATACTGCTTATTATTCCTTATTGCTTAATTATGGAACCAGAGTGTGCTTCCTGAATGCTGTCATCTAAATAAGATCTGCAGTTCTCATGCTCTGCTTCAGTGTTACATGGACTGGGGAGCTTTGTAGTGTTTTGAGATAATGCAGTAGGGTGGGCCAGTCATGGCAACTCTTCTGGCCTTTGGGAGACCCAGGCATTCAATCCCTGCTCTGTCAACTGCTTGCTGAGAGGCCCTGGGCAAGTCACTCAGCTTCTGCATACCTCAGCTTTACAAGTCTGCTCAGATGCTACCATAAATAAGGCTGTGTGAGTATCTAGAATAGAAATAATATAATGGACTTCATCTTGACCTCTAGGTATGGACTCAGCCAGCATGCTATGAAGACACTGATTTTCTTTTCATTGTGCAGTGAGTGGTCTTTGGTGAAGTGCAGTGGCTGAGGGTTGTGTGCGCAGGGGGATTGAGAGCACAAGGGAAGACAGAATTTAATATCTTAAAATCATAGAATAGTTTGGGTTGGAAGGGACCTTCAAAGGTCTTCTGGTCCAACCCCTCTGCAATGAGCAGGGACATCTTCAACTAGATCAGGTTTCCCAGAACCACATCCAGCCTGGCCTTGAATGTCTCCCAGGGATGATGCATCCACCACCTCTCTGGGCAACCTATGCTAGTGTTTTAACACCCCTGCTGTAAAAAACATTTTCCTCACATTAGCCTGAATCTCCCCTCTTCTAGTTTAAAAGCATTACCCCTTGTGCCATTGCAACAGGCCCTGCTGAAAAGTCTCTACCTGATTTCACAAGCATGTGACTGCAGCCCAAGTGGTCAGGCTCCCAGCGGCACTGAAGGCTCCATTGCTCTTGACCAGAGAGAGCCTCTGTTCACACTTAAAGTTTATGCATATTTCCATCTCTGGTTAAACTGATGCAGTTTGTGCTTGCCAGGCTGTGGCATGTAAGGTATGACACACAGGTGTGTTACTAGGTTGTCAGCAAGCTCACCTAAAACAAGCGTGTAATGCTGCTGTGTTAGAAGAAGGCTTTGATGTCACCACTCTTTGCTGATTCAATGAGTCTTAAATGACTTGCTGCCTTAAAAGGCAACATACTATTGCGGTTATGCATTGGAAAAAAACAGAAAGTGTGGCCTTCTCCAGGCTCACTGGGCCCAGAAATCTACCCTGAAGAACTCTTTTTAAGTCTTTGATTTAATGTCTCATTGAATCATGTAACCTACTCTAGAGAAGGGGAAAGCCATTCAGCATGTGTTTGAATATTAGCCTTGATTTTTTTATTGTTTGCATTAAAAGGAAGAGAAGAAGATGGGTGATAAAACTCAGTTTCTGAATTATCAATTTCCAGATTAAACTCCTGCTGAACTTCATTCCTTAGACTTGTTTTTGAAAACTTGAGTAAGAAATAGTATTGGTGAAAATCCCTTATTGTTATAAGGTTGGCATAAAGTCTACTTAATGAAGTGCTTTTATGTCAGGGGCCATATTTTTTAATTCCCCCTTTTCATTCCTGAAATCTGAACATTAATAGCACCTTCCATTTCAATGTGCTCCTCTAGCATGCATCTTCTGTCTTCTGTAAGAGGCTGCATGCAGTCCTACTAGCAAGCTCTTGTGTCATAAATAGAATTTGTTCAGGAAATAAAAATGTATTGTTTTCATTGTTAGAGGATGCTACTAAATTGGCTGTATGTTTGTCTAATAATCATATCTAAAGCTGATTATTCTGGTAATAGCCTTAAGATATTATTAAAAAAAAATATAAATGCACTACTTTTGTACTAATACAAGTTTTTAATCTCTTCTTGTTTCTATGAAGTCTGAATGAGATTTTCAAAATTGAATAATAATTTGATCCGTTAATCTTTTGAAGCTAGTAATTTTATTTTCCTCTCTTTGCAGTCTCTGAGGCTCACAAATGAATAGAGCTTCATTACTGGAGTCTGCATTTAATAACCATTATCCATTATCTTGTAATTAAGACTCCCTGTAACGAATCATGAGGACAATGCAAAAATACATAGTACATTTCTTTAATGAACTGGAAAATGTTCATCTTGTTCTATTTAGTAATGAGTTGCTGAATAGTCGTTAAATCCACTGGAGAATAGAGCTAGATGGATTTTGAAGACTATCTTGAGTTTGTAGTTAATCTATTAGAATTAAAATTTCATCTTCTATTTTTATCAACAGCTGATTAGAAGTCATTCTGTTTGACCAAATTGATTAGAAGACCATATACAAGGGCAGCTGTTGTTTAATGAAAGTTTTTAATGAAACTATACCATAGAGACTTGTAATTATACGACTTATAAAAGCTTTGACTTACCTTATACTAGAAAAAATGGGAAGTATTGCACTGAAGGACTTTTAAGTGCTACATTTCGAAAGGGAAATTAAAAATATAATTTGGCGATGTCAAAGTTTCGCTTCCACTGTTACATGTTTTAATGTGACTATCAGATGTCCATAGTGTCTCTCTGGAAGGGAGTAGCTCTGAGATATGTAACTCGATTGTCTCTGTGCTCCATTCTTTGCAAAGCTCAATCAACTATTAATTGCCTCTTTTGTGCACTGTACATTCTCTGGAGTTAGAACTTTTTCCACAAAAAAAAAAAATTGCTTCTCTTTGGAATGGAAACTGTCACAGGAGGGTGCAGTTTAATCACCAATGGGCCTAGACAGGAAGCCTACAAAGAAAGCTGTGTTCTTACAAGACACGATGTTAGTGATACTGTTTGTGTTTACATCACAGGGCACAGGAACATACCTGGCTTTGTCTTAATACCATCAAGGATGAGACCTAGCTGTCTGCCAGTTGGCAGTGTTATCAGGAAGGTGGGTCTCTGGAGTGTGCTGCAGCACACCGTCAGAGTGTAGTCTAAGCAACTCTTTAGTTTGAGCCAGTAGTGAAACTTCCCTTGCTTACTCTAGGGAATGCTGTAGAGGTATCATCATTCAAATAAGAGACAAAATGGACCCTAAGCCAAAGCTGAAGTGGAAGCAGATGCAGTTCCAATTGCCTTAAGTGGATGATGCACTACTACATGATGGTTGAATTATCCCTCTTCTTCTCCCGATTACTTTCGATAATTAATGATCCCACAGTACATCTTTTCTAAGAAGTAGGTTCCCAGAGATGAAGTGTGCCCTAATGCAATTAAAGAAGTTTTCTCATTGTTTTGTGTCAGTGCAGGATCATACAGTGCAAGGCAGATTTTTTGGTTCACTTTTTTAGCTTCTTATACTGTGCTGCAGAATTCATTTTAAGCCAAGCCAGAACAACAGGAATGCACAAGAATACTACACAAGTATTCAGGGCAGGTAGTGGAGACTGCTATTCACAAGTGAGAAGCCAGGAACAATAAGCCAAGGTTAACTTTCTTTTAAATAACACAGATGTTTTGACCTTATTACTGCATTATATCAGGCCATGGGTTTAAATATAGTAATTTGCAGTGTTACAGTTGCAAAATGCATAAGAGAGTTTTTATCCTGTTCAGAGAATTACACAGCTGGTTTCATAAATACATGGGATTGCTTTCACTTTAAACAGCTGCAGAAGCTACAATACTAGACTGTCAAATGTGAGACTAAATAGATGCAAGATTTAATTAAAACCCTATATATTCTATTCAGAAAGATCCTTGAGGAAATACTACAAAGTTGATTTAATGTAGAATTTATTCAGAGGAAATAATTTCCATTGTAGTTAGACACATTCCTGTTCATGCATTTATGCACATATACTGAGTGTCTGTACAGGAACATATATTATATTGGACTGTCTTGAAGAGACTGTTAGTCTGATAGCTAGAGCAAAGAATTAACAGCTTGGATGTTCATTTAGCCACTGGGATGGCTAACTTGCTGTGAAACCAGATGGGTATCATCCTCTTGCTCCAGCCTCCACAACTGCAAGGTTAGCACTGTCACCACAGGGACGTATGTGTAAATGAATGCTTCATAATTGCTGTGATGCATAAGATCATCTGTGGAGGGCATGAACTACATATGTGTGGAATGCCTCTTGTTCTAAAACTACCATAAAGCTTTTTACTTCTTTTCAGGTTCTGATTTTATAAAGACGTCTACAGGGAAGGAGGTGGAAAATGCGACCTTTCCAGTTGGAGTAGTCATGATGCGAGCCATTAAAGAATTCTACTGGCAAACTGGCTGCAAGGTAATTCTTGCTACCTTTATAAAAATTAACTAAACAGGCTCATTCAGAAGGAGATAAGACTGTAATGGTTTCAAAATGCAGAACATATAAATCCACATACATTAGCTTCCTTGGTTATAGGAGCCGTAGGTAATGGGACTTCTGTCTTGTATGTCTCGTTTGATTTGCTATTATTCTAGTGCTTAAAAAAACAAACCCAAAAGGCACTTTTGGCTTTCCTGCCTGGAATAACTGTCACTTCATTCCCTAAAAGCTCACGCAATCTTGATGCGTCCCCTGTTGCATTTGGGTTTGAATTTTGTTTCACCATTTAAGGTATTTAAATAGTCATCTCCACCTGACAGTGATTGGCATACTCCCATAAACCTCAGTGGAGCTATACAAATTTATAGCCGCTGAGAGTCTGTCCAGTGTACACAACTGTATTTTCTGACTTTGTTCTGGCAACCCAAGAGATAAATTCTGCTCTTTCCTCCCTTGCCAAAGGGACTTGCCAAAGGGACAAAAAGGCAGATCCAGTTGGAGCCTGTTGTGTGGGATGGAGGGAGGGAGGGACTGGGGCCAGAAAAACATTATGTCCTAGTCCACGACATTTATCTGTCATGTCAATGTCAAATGAGGTCAGTGGATGCAAGGAGCAGGGGAGAAAGTATGGCAGAGCCAGTGATGAGCTATCCATGCATCCGTGCTTGTGCTGAAGCAGTAAGAAAGGAGGAGGTTATTCAAGAAGGCTTAAGCCACCTCTCACTTCTTTTATCTACATGCAAGTGGGAGCTGCCAGTTAGATCCGGTGCTGATGTTCAGCTGCAGGCTTTGACTTCACCTGCAGCCTCAGGAAAGAAGATCATATCTCTAACTAAAGACTCACATTTCTCTCCAGCTCACCCTTCTGGAAGTGGCCTTTCAAAGATATGATGTTAGGACATGGGATGAGAGTGGGATAGGAGCTGAGATGGCTTCAGGGGCTGTTGGAGCTAGAGGAGAACGTGACAGCAGGTTAGACACGCGTCCATCTGCTCTCTGTGGTCATCTAACTGAGGCCATTGTGATCCCTGGGCTGTTCTCACTCCTCCCTTCCCTAGTTTGCCTCTCCCTCTGACACACCACGACTCGAGCAGCTTGGATAGTCTTGCTTCTGCGGGAACATCTCCACTGCTCCCAACTTGAGGCAGATCTCTGGGGCTGGGTGACTCACCTCAGCACTGGTGCTGCTTATAGGAGCTGTATGCCAGAGGTTGGGCTCTGCTGCATTAACACAGCTTTGTACCTATAATTGGATATAGATGTTGAATTCACCTTTTGCTTTAAAAAGATGCATTCATGGTTTAAAATGTGTTATTAAGAATGAGCGCTTATGCCTGTATGCATGTATGTGTCAGAGAATTAGATGTAAACTGACTTTATGTGCTTTTATTAACTGAAGACAATATTATCACTGACAAGAGATTTCTAAATGGTTTCTTTAACAAACTAATTTTGCAGCTGTAGGGATGCTTTCTAGCAAGGCGTTGGCTTGGAAAAACAGGTTAATACAGAAATTAAACTTCTTCAAGGAAAGGAACAAGTTGCAGAGTAACATTTATTGACTGATAAGCTGTGGTGGTGATATGAAAAGTTTGTAATATAATGGGAGATAATCTTTTCCTGTCATTATTGAAGGACATACATAAATTGGTTTTTCTGTTGGGAAAACCCCCAATCCAGAAAAACTTATTACTTTTAATAATATAAGCTGAAGAGAAAATTCTTGAGGAGATGAGCTTATTAAGCAAAATAATGAAATGCTGTGAAACAGCAGGAAAGTGGTAGCTGGACTTTGTACTCCTCTTGAATTAAATTCCAGCCCCCTTTCCTTTTTACCTTTTTATGGCAGTCAGATGTGCTGTTTGGAAGGCTGGTAAATGGAGGACAGGCTTGTCTTTGTAAGCTTTTTTTGTAAAGAGCTTTCTGAATTTGCTAAAAAAAGAGAAGGAATTCTGCATGGTGTTTTTAATTCTCTTATTGACTCCATTTTAGTTGTTTTTCTGTTTGGTTTTTTTTTGACAGATTATCTCAGCTGTAATATTTCTAGGAAGAAATCTAAATTTGAATTTCATTAGGATTTCTCTTCCTGAGGGAAAACACATTCCCACTCTTTTAATTTATTGTCTAGAAGATGCTTTTCCAGTTGCCGTGGTTTAAATTCCTTTTGGAAATCTAATGTGAACAGATGTATGCATACACTCATGCATGCATGCATGCGTCCATCTATCCATCCATCCATTCACAAAAAAAAACAGTCTTCATGTTTTGGATTTATCAAGCTTTTCTTGTTATTGTTCTTTATAATCTTATTGGAAATATGCTGTTATCACAATGCTTCAGAGTGAGAGAAGGATTTATTCTATGTTTGTTTATCCTGAAATCACTATAACAAAAATTACCACATTTAAAAACAGATACTTTTTGATTCCACTATTATATTCATACGGTACAAAGAAATCCTCAATGCAGGGAGGTTTCAGGAACAAGTATGCAGAAATCAGAATGATAATTCTTGCAGAAGGCAGCTGCCAGGAAGAAGTATGGAAGGTAAAGGTTTATGGCAGAAGAAAACATAGAAAGAATCATGTGCTACTGTACAGATTGTTCAAAGGTAATTACTATATTTTGTTAATGCAGAACCACTTTTTCCCAGCTCTCCTGTTTTTTCAAGAGGTTAGCAAGCTGCTACAGGCCGACGTTTTAGCTAATGCAAGTGGCAATTTTTGATGAGGGGTTTGATAGGTGCGTGTCACAGGCTCTGTCTCAGAATGAGATTTGTTTAAATTACAGCTAACCAAAAGACTGGTGCTAGGGGTTCTATGCCATGTCACCTCAGTGCTGCCTATGCACAGCAGGTTGATCAAGGGACTCAAAAGAGTCTTTACCTCAAAGTTATGTTTTTCTTGACGTGTGTGCCTCTACTTACGTGGCAGTTCCCCTGACCAAGTATGACATCTCACATCAAGTGACTGAAAGCTTATCCAGAGTGCGTTGAGAGGGAAGTTTTGCAGTTCCTGTGAAACACAAAACTTTCATTTTTTTGTAAAGTCAGACCTAATTTAATTCCCATTTGGAAAATTTTAGTGAGAATTAAACCTCTGATAGGTTTGAATGTACCTCCCAATCATGTATTGTTTGGTGCACAGTCTGTTTATAAAGAACAACCATCTCTCACCACTCTTCCCGTGAGTCAGCTGCCTCACATGCTTTATTTCAGCATCTTTAGTATATTGTACGTATATTTGTTGTTATATATTTGGAATTAGTTTACAACATGGGCAGTAGTGATACACAGATTTCCCAGGTCCTGCCTAAATCCCTTGGTCTAGTATGTGCTGTGGGCTAAGTACTCCCATTAGACCTCAAACCCATCTTCTTAGAAAGTGCACTGGGGTCAAAAGCATTACTCGCTCAGTTGCCATGCCTCGTGATGAAAATATTACCTTTTGCAGTGATGGCTGAAGCTTGATAGCTCTCAGCACTAGTCTGGAGCTGATACTGTTTGCAGGCAGGTACTTACTGAGTAGAGTTGTTACATACACCACAGGCACTTTGAGACTGCAGGTGTACAAATGCTGATTGCTCTTCTGGGGTTGCTGATGAATGAAAATGTGTATTGCACTTCTTTTTGCTGTATAAAGGTTGGATTTAAACCTGCTGGGGGCATTCGGACGGCAAAAGAAGCTGTTACGTGGCTTATGCTGGTGAAGGAGGAATTGGGAGTGGAATGGCTAACACCAGAGCTCTTTCGCCTGGGTGCCAGTAGTTTGCTGGAAGACATCGAGAAACAGGTTAGTTTTTAATGTTTTTCAGCTTGATGGAGGGAATAACTAATCTTTCTAAATATGCTGGCTTACTGTTACTGCAGAATATGCTTTTTAGTGCTGTTTAAAAGATAATAGAATGTACAAATGTACATCTAATTCATTATTAAAGACAGTTTCACTTCCAGCCCACTATTTCTTTAAATTTGGCCTGTTGTTACAGACATATTCCAGCAACTGGCAATTGCCTTGGCCAGGTTTGCAGTGCAGTGAGCAAAGAGGCTCAGTTCGTACAATTGCAGAGCCTTTTGCAAATGCATGGTAGTGCCCTCCCCTGCACTCCTAGCTGTTGCCAGTTCAGCTGACCCTCACGATACCTCACAGACCCTTTGTGTCACTGTGCTGCAACTGTTCACGATATATTTCCATGCTGTGGAGAAAGTCACGTCTCACCCTACATATGGTACTGCTGATAGAGAAGTTTTTACATATTGATTATTTCCTGGGGAAGACAAGCAATTGCCTCCTACAAAGCCTCATTTTGCTAATTGCTTTTATTTTTGCGCAGGCTGGTCGCTGCGTTTCCTGGCAGGAAAACAGTGTATGAGGTGCAGTGGCAACGTGTAGTTCCTGGTGGGCAGAAAGGTTCTGACCTGTCTACCCACAACCTACTTCACTGGCGCAGGGTATCAACCCCAAAGGATACAACATAGTTGAGAAGAGCATAAGCAATTTTGGATACTTTTAATATCATTAAATGATGCTGAAATGGTCAAAATAAGATCATAGTGAGAGTAAAGCAGTATCTTCCACCTTGCTCTTTTTGAAAGCTTAGTTAAAAGCAAAAAATCATTGCTTTTTTCTTTTCTTTTTAAAGCAGCAAGAGCCCTTAGTTCAGATCCTATGAACAAGTATATAAAGGTATACTACATCGTATTTTATGCACAAACACACATAGACACAAACAAATATCCATCATCTTCATGTGGCATGCCTTTAATTTGTTACTTCCTTGACATTTTCAGATTTATAGAGATATATAATTCCATCATAAATTTTCTTTTTTCTTGCAGATTTTCTACCATGTGACTGGCTCTTATCCGCTTCAGCATGACCTGGCAATGGCTTAGACACAAAATCAACTCAGGATTACTTTCACAAAAGAGGTCTTTAAGCAAACAACATTCAGAAGTTTTCTGACAACCAAATGCATATGATAAAATTAAAAGACTAATTCTTCCTTCTTCATATTTAAACCACGACAATAGTATATAAAAATACGCTTGTCTGCTGGTTGTACTTGATCCAAAAGCAGAAAAGATGGTAATTCTGAAATAAATTGTTAATACTTACAGATTTGCAAAGTTAATCTTGCAAAGTCTTCCTCAGACTAGCCTGAAAAGCTTATTAATGGCAACACTGAAATACTATGAAAAAGATTTAGGTGGCCAGGTAACAGTTTGCAGTAACAGAATATGAAATATCTATGGAATGTTTCAGACTACTAATTAAGAGCTACAGATCTTGGAATAGCTTTCCACTCGCCTCAGACAAAACCTTCTGCCACAGATGTGTTGCGCTATTAATTGTTATGTTGATTCACTTTCAAGCATTGTAACCTGAGAAAATGAAACTTGGCTATTACTTTCTTTTATAAAATGTCTCTGCAGCAAAAGAAAACCTTTTTTTTTTTTTGGCATTTTTTCCCCAAACTTGGGCACAGACATCCATATTTAGACCCTTGAATAAAGGTGGCTTGATTTCTAGAACAGCTGAGTATCCACAGTTGCTCCTGAAGTTAATGGGAGCTCTGGGTGATCAGAACAACTGAAAATCAAGCAGACTTATATAGGTGCCTAACTATGCATTCATGGGCCTATTTTTAGGCATTTCACTCTTAAATTTTAGTCTAACTTGCTTAGAAGCTCCCATTCCTGTCTCCTGTCATTTTAAAACACATTCATGCAAATCTTTGCATCTTAATGTAGGGGGGTTTGACTGTCATTTTGCAGGTGTCACTGCTGTGCTGGCTTCACCTTGGTCATTCTAAAAGCGGTTTTTTAATTTAAAAGGTGATTTGAATTTTCTCCTATGCAGGGTTTACAGCTTTAATATAGAAAGTACTTTTCTTAGAGCACATTAAGAATAGTACTGAAATTATCAACACCTTTTGAATATCAGGCTACAGCTAGTAGATTCATTATTTCGGAGCTGCTTTCTGCTCACTAACCAGAGTTGTACTAAAAACTTAATTATCTTATCATCATGACTAGTCTCACTGACTTAGGTAGGTCTCATCAGGGAAGTAAGAGAAGGAGGATTTTACTGTAAATCAAGCTACAAAGGTACATTTATTGCAAAGAGATCTGTACTTCATAAAGATAATAACTCAGTTATTTATCTGGCTATACCACCTGAATCAGTGGTGGTCTACTGAACACCTTGGACAGATAGGAAAGCTGAATAGGGGAAAAAAAGTAATAATCAGAGAAACAACATCTACAGAAAGTAAAATCCTATATGCAGTGCTCAAAAATAGGCCTTAATTTCCCAGGAAGTAGTTTGTCCAAGGCTTCCAGCCTTTTTCTGCTTCAGGTCTCAACGCAGAAAATGAAGCTGAGCAGTGACTATATTTTCACGTTTGTTTTTTGTGGAAAGTGGCCTTTTTTTGCTACAGGTTTTCCTTCTGATTTTCCTGCCAGTTTCCTGAAGGAAAAATCCAGTGCCTGTTTGCATATTTAGGGGAAAATTCTGCTGAGCTTCCAGAAATACAGAGCCTGTTTTAGGAAGTCAGCTCCCACCAGGTGTTTGCCAGGTTGACCCTCTGCCCTCCCAGCAACTACACATTGGATTTTGCTGCTGTTTAACTCTAGCTCTGTTAGAGTATATTTCAGTACTTCAGTACTTCTGTTAGAGTATTTCAGTACTGTTAGAGTATATTTCAGTACTTCCGTAGCAGAGAGATTCACTTTACTTGCAGAGTACACTTTCTTGTTGTTGGTTGTCTTTTGGACATTTAGGCTGAAGATACAAGCCATTTTTTGGAGATGCTTTCGGAGACGCTTTAGTTTCTAGGTGGACTCTCCATAGTTCCTTAAAATTAATGGAAGTACAACTTTGCCACCTAGCTATTTAACGTGAGTACCTCTGAGAACAACCTCACTGTTTCGACAGGAGCTATGTGTTGATTAATGAACTTGCCAAGAGGAATTGTTTATATTTCTGTTGACAGTCACCCTTTATTTTGATGTACACATCAAAATGGGCTGCTGCTGGTTACTTTGCTTTAGAGGGAACAAGCTCCATTTGCAGAGGGAGAGGTTCAGCTTCCTGAAAAGTCGAAGATAGCTGCTACCCTTTCCCATGAGCATTGCAAACACACGAGTGTGAAATACTGTGCAAGTACAAGCCAGGCAGTGTTTTGGGAGAAGCTGGATTGGAAAGTAATGTAAACATTTTTCTGTTGAAACCTGTAATTTTGGGGGCAAAAAAATTAAATATATAAAAGTAACACACTCTGTAAAGACATTCAAATAAAGATGATCCTGGTTTTGGGGTGGATTTTTTTTTTTGTGAGGAATAAGCAGGAGGCTCAGTGTTACGGAGTTTCTGCTTGTTAACTTCTGTCTGACTCGGGCTGTATTCATACTGTCTGTGGGTGTGGATGCTCAGTGTGACCCAGAGACTTGTCTCTCACTTCTACAGAAGCTGCTGGCACTAGCCAGGTGTTGGTCTATTGACAGCCCTGGGCAGTAGAAGAAGATGAACCCGGGCTGGGGCTCCCATCAGAAGCAGCAGTGGACTGGGGTGGAGACATATAACAAGGCATGGCCAGGGAGCCCCTACAGGAGATAGATACCAACAGCACAGGTCCAAGGTCCACCCTGGAGATAGAGGCAGGACTGGAGACCACTGCTCCTGCAACATAGCTCAGAGTGATGCTGAGCTAAAGTGGGACTCCTGAGCCCCTTGCTGTAGGTGGAGAGAAGCTGGGCAGGGCCAGTGGTGAGCCTGTGAGAGAGCCAAATATAGGGGGTACAGGGACTAACACACATTTTGATCTTGGATCAGAGGCCAGCATGGCAGCACCTACACCCTCACCCATGGGGAAAAAGAAGCCCTCACAGTGTGGTCTCCTAGCCTTGCTGTCCTTAGCCCTGACCCACACTTCCACAGCCCTCTCCTCCACGTTTCCCATTGCTGACACTGTTTGCTGCTATTTAGTTCCCATGGTTAGGAAGCAGTTGAGATTTATCAAGGGTGCTGCAGCTGGGTGTCACTCCTGCAGACAGCTTGTGAAAAGTAATGGGGACCTGAACTCAGGAACCAGGGAGGGGGCAGCACTCCGTCACTGCACAGACTTTGGGAAAAGTTCAGATTTAGCACTGTGCTTCAGGCCATTAGAAAAGGAACAGGCAATTATGCGCTCCTGTCTAAATATATTTCAGAGTGTAACATATGTTTTGTGCAAGTCAGTCTTGTATACTAATTTATTATTTTTATAGCACTTATTCATTTAGGATTTTAAATAGCTTCATTTTATAGACCACATTACTTTGAAAAAAAAAAAGAATAAATTCAAGAAGAAAGTAAAGTAGAAACTGCAAATCTAGAAGATTCTACATCAGCTTATTTACCAGAAGGGGGAACTGGGAGAGAGAGTAAGCTTTTTTTCCTGGTTTGTAGGAAACAAAGATATTAAGTAGCAATTATATGTGAAGTGTATGTATCAGCTGGGGCAAGTAATACTTTGATATCTTCATTTCATCAGTCATATTAAGTTCATTCTTTCATTTCCTTTGTGAAGCAGGGAACATACATTATATACCATAGCACATACTACTGTGACAGAAAAAATGATCTACTTTTAATTTCGTTTTGCTCAGTTGGAACTATGGCTTCCTGCCTCCTTGGGGGCAAAAAGACACAAAACAACAACAGCATGTTTTATCCAAATCTTGGTGAGCTTTTGCTGAAATTACCAGTGCTGATGTCTGAATGTTGTGTATAACAGGTGGTAGGAGTGGAAGGAAAGAAGGAACTGCCTTTAGTTAGATGTAACCTGCCAAGAAGAGAAAGAGAATTGTCCATCTGGTCAGTCCTTATTTAAGAGGGCAACCAAGGATAAGAGAATTCTTAATATTCAAAGACACCATAGGCAAAATTACTGGCTTACCATGTTTATTAAAAATCCCAGAAAGCCAGAACTGTGCTAAATTAAGAGGTGGTAAGAGAATGAAAGAAAAGCATCAAGAAAGGAATCCTTGCACTCCCTAAAAGCAGGAGTAAGCAAGTGATGGGAGACTGTCAGGTCCCAACCAACTACACTATAGAGACCTTTCCTCAGTTCTAGACAATTGACAGATCTTTCTCCTTCTCTGAGGACCCACAGTAACCACTTAGCAAGAGAAAGTGTGACAAAGTTGTTTTAATATCCTTTAATGAAAGTCAACATTGATGCAATGAAGGAGTGCCCACAAGATGCTCTAGCCATTCCTAATGAGTCTGGTGATTTTAAGTGATTCTGTTTTGATCAGTGGGGACATCTTGTGGGTTGCTAAGTCTTGGAAGTTGCAGAAAATCTGGTCTTCTGAAAGCAAAGCTTTCTTGAGTCATTACAGTTTCAGATCTCCAAGATCATAGGGAGTGTTTGAAAACACTGAATTGTAAAAGCATCACCTTAGAATGGCCTCCTTAGCTGAGGTGAAAACAAAAGATACTTTAAAGAATGTTAATAAACTGAGGAGTTTGTGCCAGAATTGACAACAGTTGTTTTTTTTCAAGTCTTGCTTTCTGTGTGGGAGGAATAGAGGAAGGAACTTTGCAGGCTCAGCTGGTGGAGTTTACCGTCATCTCCATACAGTACAGTGTCATAAAACCACCCCCCAAAGTGGATGAGCATCTTTATGGTCCTCCTCTGGACTCACTCAAGCAGGTCCAGGTCCCTCTTTTGTTGGGGGCCCAAAGACTTACATGTGTTCTCACCTATTTATTAGTAACAAACAAGCAAACCAGCCAATCACTTCATATATCTGGGTCAAGGCCAGTGGCAAAGCTGGTTTGACAGTCCCCCAATTTAGGGGTCCCTGCCACTGTCGCAATCTAGAGAGTAAGTAGGATGATGGAGGAGCCTGCCAAAGGCTTACCATCGTGCCCGCTAGCTGCACGAACCAGTGCGTGCTCTTACTGCCTGAGAGGCTGCCCTGAGGGTAGAAAGTGCTGAAACTGTCTGTAGTGATTACTGGTCCAT